GCTGGCTATTGTAAGCAGACACATACAGAGCTATTCACTAACACCGCTGGCTATTGTAAGCAGACACGTACAGAGCTATTCACTAACACCGCTGGCTATTGTGAGCAGACACATACAGAGCTATTCACTAACACCGCTGGCTATTGTGAGCAGACACATACAGAGCTATTCACTAACACCGCTGGCTATTGTGAGCAGACACATACAGAGCTATTCACTAACACCGCTGGCTATTGTGAGCAGACACGTACAGAGCTATTCACTAACACCGCTGGCTATTGTAAGCAGACACGTACAGAGCTATTCACTAACACCGCTGGCTATTGTGAGCAGACACATACGGAGCTATTCACTAACACCGCTGGCTATTGTGAGCAGACACATACAGAGCTATTCACTAACACCGCTGGCTATTGTAAGCAGACACGTACAGAGCTATTCACTAACACCGCTGGCTATTGTAAGCAGACACGTACAGAGCTATTCACTAACACCGCTGGCTATTGTGAGCAGACACATACGGAGCTATTCACTAACACCGCTGGCTATTGTAAGCAGACACATACAGAGCTTTTCACTAACACAGCTGGCTGTTGTGAGCAGACACGTACAGAGCTATTCACTAACACTGCTGGCTATTGTAAGCAGACACGTACAGAGCTATTCACTAACACCGCTGGCTATTGTGAGCAGACACATACAGAGCTATTCACTAACACCGCTGGCTATTATGAGCAGACACATACAGAGCTATTTACTAACACCGCTGGCTATTGTGAGCAGACACATACAGAGCTATTCACTAACACCGCTGGCTATTGTGAGCAGACACATACAGAGCTATTTACTAACACCGCTGGCTATTGTAAGCAGACACGTACAGAGCTATTCACTAACACCGCTGGCTATTGTGAGCAGACACATACAGAGCTATTCACTAACACCGCTGGCTATTGTAAGCAGACACGTACAGAGCTATTCACTAACACCGCTGGCTATTGTAAGCAGACACGTACAGAGCTATTCACTAACACCGCTGGCTATTGTAAGCAGACACGTACAGAGCTATTCACTAACACCGCTGGCTATTGTAAGCAGACACGTACAGAGCTATTTACTAACACCGCTGGCTATTGTGAGCAGACACATACATAGCTATTTACTAACACCGCTGGCTATTGTGAGCAGACACATACAGAGCTATTTACTAACACCGCTGGCTATTGTGAGCAGACACATACAGAGCTATTCACTAACACCGCTGGCTATTGTGAGCAGACACGTACAGAGCTATTCACTAACACCGCTGGCTATTGTGAGCAGACACATACAGAGCTATTCACTAACACCGCTGGCTATTGTGAGCAGACACATACAGAGCTATTCACTAACACCGCTGGCTATTGTGAGCAGACACGTACAGAGCTATTCACTAACACCGCTGGCTATTGTAAGCAGACACGTACAGAGCTATTCACTAACACCGCTGGCTATTGTAAGCAGACACGTACAGAGCTATTCACTAACACCGCTGGCTATTGTAAGCAGACACGTACAGAGCTATTTACTAACACCGCTGGCTATTATGAGCAGACACATACAGAGCTATTTACTAACACCGCTGGCTATTGTGAGCAGACACATACAGAGCTATTCACTAACACAGCTGGCTGTTGTGAGCAGACACGTACAGAGCTATTCACTAACACCGCTGGCTATTGTGAGCAGACACATACAGAGCTATTCACTAACACCGCTGGCTATTGTGAGCAGACACATACAGAGCTATTCACTAACACCGCTGGCTATTGTGAGCAGACACATACAGAGCTATTCACTAACACCGCTGGCTATTGTGAGCAGACACATACAGAGCTATTTACTAACACCGCTGGCTATTGTGAGCAGACACATACAGAGCTATTTACTAACACCGCTGGCTATTGTGAGCAGACACATGCAGAGCTATTCAGTAAAGTGAGACATTAATTCAAAGTGAATTTCAAATTTAAAGTCAAAGTGAAAGGACTTGGGGAATGTCTGACCTTAACTTTACTTTGTATTCTCACATTCGTGAATAACCCAGAATGCACGTGGTCTCCACTGACAGCGTGGGCCTTATTCACTAAACAGTGCATTGCCATGAAATCGGAAACGGGTTTTCAAAACTTGTTTTCTAAAATAAGTTTAAAAACTTTCCCCAGCTCTTCGATATCCTTAGCAATTCTATGTTGGCCTTCATTTTTTTAATGAAAAAGTCAGCAATTAATAAATTAACCCCTTAACGGTTTGTACTAGCTATAGCGTTACAAAGACAACCGTTGTTATAAATACTCAGTGGAGCGAGAGCTCAGTGCGTTACATTAATATAAAATGACCTGCTAGTCAGCAGGGATAAAATTACAGCCCCTCCACCCCCCGCCATCCTTCCCATGCTCACACGGAGGCCCATTACCTAATCATCATCAATTTCTGATCACCGTAGAATCCCCTTTAAATTTAGGCAAAATTCAGCGTTAATTAATTCCGACCTGCTTTTGTAGCTGGTGTTTAATTGAAGCAAGCCGGTTCAATGTAATTTATTTTTAAACGTTTTAATAACGAGGGCAGCCACAGTGAGTTTAAACAGCTGTATTTATCAGACTCAGTGCCTTTCACAGCTATAAACCAGATATGTTATTTTTGATCATGTATTAAGATTCTTTGGGGAATTTGTCAGGTGCACGACCAGTCCCCATCACCCCCATCCCCAAAAAATAAATAAACAGTGTAGCCTTCTTTGTCAAACAGATAAACCATTGACATTTTGGGGATTGTTCTGGATATTAACCAAACATTGGGAGATTTGTGATTGCGTTGGGAGGATGCAATGTTACTGACAACACACATAACAGGTCAACCTGCAACTGAAAGTGCATATCGGCCTGTCATCGGGCAACTTACAGCCTGTCCGGCCGGCCCCAAACTACAAGACCACGCCGATAGCGCTGGTGAAACCATCTCTGCACCATCCTAGAGCCCATTCACACTCCAGCACTGTATCCTGGGACATCATGGTACAATATCTGGATAGCGGGGCAGAACCCGGAAATCAGGACGGTCCAGACAAAATCGTGGCTGTTGGGAAGTCAAAAACATGGAATTGTGTAATATTGACAAAGGAATTGCCAAAACAACTGTTCTCAAAAAATATCTAATTTGATCAACTATATTAAGATACAATGTGCAGCTCCCCGTCCAATTCCACATAATTCTCATTTTATTGAAAAATAATGCCATTTGTGGCAAAGCTTCTCCTGTGGCAGATCTGACGCACCGTTATTGCCAGCGTTAAGTGATCTCAGAGCAGCAATGTGACACTTGGGAGAATGTTTTAAAATACGTTTTAGTGGCAAAATGTAACACAATATGGAGAGCTGCAAGACAGTGCTACGGATTATTATACACAGAGAGAGGGATCAGTAATAACTTAATGGCTCCATCAAAGAGGCCAATAAATCATAACCTTTTATTTGCTGCTGAGTAAATTTAACAACCAAATGCCCCTGTTTTGGGGAGACGAGAAGATCAAAGGAGGAAAGAATAAAACGAAAATCTGGTTGGTTATTTCTCTTTATAAATAAAGTGTCACAGTAAAAAAACAAACACGGCTCTCTCCTAAACAACAAACTAAATATAAGACTCAGCAATAAATACTGATCATAGAAGATCGTTTTCCGTGTCAATCAATCACACACTCCCTGCACGCTGACCTCGGTGACCTGGAGTATTTTTAACTGTGTTTCCTTCTCTTCCATAGTTCAAACCATCCTACAAACACCCTTCCATCCATAATCACTAATCGGCTTCTACCATCAGGGTACGAAGGGAAACATGCCTTCTTCCAATAGACTGCAATCTTCCAAATGTCAGTGCTTAATAGAGATCCAGCAGCTGGTCGCGGTGGGAAATATCACAACAACGAGGGTTGTGTGACTCTCTATTCCCGTATTCCACGAATGCAATAATTATATACCTGTGGACATGTGTGTCCTCGCTATGACACTGAGACGGCACTAACAGGATACTTAATGACTCTGCCCCGCCACAATGACAATCCCCGTGACATTAACATCTATCGATAGCATTTATTTTATTTCACCAATTTAGAGAGAGCAGTAGACTTGTAATGAACTGCTATCGCCTGGTGTGTTTTATGTTTATTCTATTTTTTACGTTTATAATTGTTGACGAAGAGGATTTATCTACTAAATGGAGAATTTCGGAGGGATTTGCTGCTGCAAAGGTCAGCCAAAAATAGGCACTTTGGGAAAATAGCGTTGGGACAATATTTACAATTTTATTTTAATTGGTGGTCCTTTTGATGTCCCATAATCCCGCATTAACTTAAGAAACCTGTGTCAAGGTTACACACTTAATTCAGAATTTACTCGTTTTACATCCAAGTTGCGAAATTTAAAGTTAAAATATACTAGTGGAGAGAAGAAGCAATTTGGAGAATTTTCTCAATGTCAGTCATTTTTGACAACATTTAGCAATTTTGGATTTTATCATCTGAAATGTGGCATTTAGTGGATCAGTGTATGCGTGTTCAGTCCCGCATTGTGTGAAGCACAAGGCCTGTACATATACGTCTCTAGGTGCTTTGATTCAATGTGGCATTTGGTGGATCAGTGTATGCGTGTTCAGTCCCGCATTGGATGAAGCACAAGGCCTGTACGTGTACGTGTCTAGGTGCTTTGCTTCAATGTGGCATTTAATGGATCAGTGTATGCACATTCAGTCGCGCATTGGATGAAGCACACAGTCTGTACGTGTAAGTGTCTAGGTGCTTTGATTCAATGTGGCATTTAGTGGATCAGTGCATGCGTGTTCAGTCCCGCATTGGATGAAGCACAAGGCCTGTACGTGTACGTGTCTAGGTGCTTTGCTTCAATGTGGCATTTAATGGATCAGTGTATGCACATTCAGTCGCGCATTGGATGAAGCACACAGTCTGTACGTGTAAGTGTCTAGGTGCTTTGATTCAATGTGGCATTTAGTGGATCAGTGCATGCGTGTTCAGTCCCGCATTGGATGAAGCACAAGGCCTGTACGTGTACGTGTCTAGGTGCTTTGCTTCAATGTGGCATTTAATGGATCAGTGTATGCACATTCAGTCGCGCATTGGATGAAGCACACGGCCTGTACGTGTACGTGTCTAGGTGCTTTGATTCAATGTGGCATTTAGTGGATCAGTGAATGTGTGTTCAGTCCCGCATTGTATGAAGCACAAGGCCTGTACGTGTACGTCTCTAGGTTCTTGATTCAATGTGGCATTTAGTGGATCAGTGTATGCGTGTTCAGTCCCGCATTGTATGAAGCACACGGCCTGTATGTGTACGTCTCTAGGTGCTTTGCTTCAATGTGGCATTTAGTGGATCAGTGCATGCGTGTTCAGTCCCACATTGTATGAAGCACATGGCCTGTACGTGTACGTGTCTAGGTGCTTTGATTCAATGTGGCATTTAGTGGATCAGTGTATGCGTGTTCAGTCCCGCATTGTATGAAGCACACGGCCTGTACGTGTACGTGTCTAGGTGCTTTGATTCAATGTGGCATTTAGTGGATCAGTGTATGCGTGTTCAGTCCCGCATTGTGTGAAGCACAAGGCCTGTACATATACGTCTCTAGGTGCTTTGATTCAATGTGGCATTTAGTGGATCAGTGTATGCGTGTTCAGTCCCGCATTGGATGAAGCACAAGGCCTGTACGTGTACGTCTCTTGGTGCTTTGCTTCAATGTGGCATTTAATGGATCAGTGTATGCACATTCAGTCCCGCATTGGATGAAGCACACGGCCTGTACGTGTAAGTGTCTAGGTGCTTTGATTCAATGTGGCATTTAGTGGATCAGTGTATGCGTGTTCAGTCCCGCATTGTATGAAGCACAAGGCCTGTACGTGTACGTCTCTAGGTGCTTTGATTCAATGTGGCATTTAGTGGATCAGTGTATGCGTGTTCAGTCCTGCATTGTATGAAGCACACGGTCTGTACGTGTACGTCTCTAGGTTCTTGATTCAATGTGGCATTTAGTGGATCAGTGTATGCGTGTTCAGTCCCGCATTGTATAAAGCACAAGGCCTGTACGTGTACGTCTCTAGGTTCTTGATTCAATGTGGCATTTAGTGGATCAGTGTATGCGTGTTCAGTCCCGCATTGTATGAAGCACACGGCCTGTATGTGTACGTCTCTAGGTGCTTTGCTTCAATGTGGCATTTAGTGGATCAGTGTATGCACATTCAGTCCCGTATTGTATGAAGCACACGACCTGTACGTGTACGTGTCTAGGTGCTTTGATTCAATGTGGCATTTAGTGGATCAGTGTATGCGTGTTCAGTCCCGCATTGTATGAAGCACACGGCCTGTACGTGTACGTCTCTTGGTGCTTTGCTTCAATGTGGCATTTAGTGGATCAGTGTATGCGTGTTCAGTCCCGCATTGTATGAAGCACACGGTCTGTACGTGTACGTCTCTAGGTGCTTTGCTTCAATGTGGCATTTAGTGGATCAGTGTATGCGTGTTCAGTCCCGCATTGTATGAAGCACAAGGCCTGTACGTGTACGTCTCTAGGTTCTTGATTCAATGTGGCATTTAGTGGATCAGTGTATGCGTGTTCAGTGCCGCATTGTATGAAGCACACGGCCTGTACGTGTACGTCTCTAGGTGCTTTGCTTCAATGTGGCATTTAGTGGGTCAGTGTATGCGTGTTCAGTCCCGCATTGTATGAAGCACATGGCCTGTACGTGTACGTGTCTAGGTGCTTTGATTCAATGTGGCATTTAGTGGATCAGTGTATGCGTGTTCAGTCCCGCATTGTATGAAGCACAAGGCCTGTACGTGTACGTCTCTAGGTTCTTGATTCAATGTGGCATTTAGTGGATCAGTGTATGCGTGTTCAGTCCCGCATTGTATGAAGCACACGGCCTGTATGTGTACGTCTCTAGGTGCTTTGCTTCAATGTGGCATTTAGTGGATCAGTGTATGCGTGTTCAGTCCCGCATTGTATGAAGCACGCGGCCTGTATGTGTACGTCTCTAGGTGCTTTGCTTCAATGTTGCATTTAGTGGATCAGTGTATGCGTGTTCAGTCCCGCATTGTATGAAGCACACGGTCTGTACGTGTACGTCTCTAGCTGCTTTGATTCAATGCGGCATTTAGTGGATTGGTGTATGCGTGTTCAGTCCCGCATTGTATGAAGCACACGGCCTGTACGTGTACGTATCTAGGTGCTTTGCTTCAATGCGGCATTTAGTGGATCAGTGTATGCGTGTTCAGTCCCGCATTGTATGAAGCACACGGCCTGTACGTGTACGTCTCTAGGTGCTTTGCTTCAATGTGGCATTTAGTGGATCAGTGTATGCGTGTTCAGTCCCGCATTGTATGAAGCACACGGCCTGTACGTGTACGTCTCTAGGTGCTTTGCTTCAATGTGGCATTTAGTGGATCAGTGTATGCGTGTTCAGTCCCGCATTGTATGAAGCACACGGCCTGTACGTGTACGTCTCTTGGTGCTTTGATTCAATGTGGCATTTAGTGGATCAGTGTATGCACATTCAGTCCGGCATTGTATGAAGCACACGGCCTGTACGTGTACGTCTCTAGGTTCTTGATTCAATGTGGCATTTAGTGGATCAGTGTATGCGTGTTCAGTCCCGCATTGTATGAAGCACACGGCCTGTACGTGTACGTCTCTTGGTGCTTTGCTTCAATGTGGACTAATCTGCAGTTTTAATCAAGAGAATGACATGGTGAATTTACGCTGCCTTTGTACTATACCCACGGCTCAACTATAAATCCTCATATCTGGGTTATTAATGTAAAGTACATTTATTTTTTGGCAGAAGCCCAGGAGACATAGTGGCCTAATTCCCATCTCCGTTGGTGCCCACTCTCTTTTATATAGATTTGGTTAACAAACACAATTAAGTTCAAAATCAAGCAATTTGTTTTATTTTCTGGAAATAGGCAAAAATAATGATTAATATTTATTACAATGCTGCCGCCCATCCCATGTTTTCCCTATTAAGGGTTAATAAGTATATAGGGGTGTATATAAAAAATACCCCTCTCTGTCTCATTAGAGATATCTTTGCCAGAAGCTCATGGAAGCAAGGTGAAAGGCTAGTGTAGGACCTGTCTAGGGGGGGTCTGCCTTGACGTTGGCAGGTGGGCTTGCATCTAATGGCCATTGGAGTAACTAAATGACCTCCATTTATTTAAATATACAGAGGGATTAAGGAGAGAGCGCAGGTAACTTTTTTTCTTTGATTTTTACTGTATGTATCAGGGCTGATGTGTACTATAGTCGTTGCTGCCGCCCAGGAGTAATGGGAGTTTGAGTGCAGGACTTGTTTTTTTTTAATTTGTATTAATATATATTAGTATTTATTTATTTATTTATTTATTTTCTAACAGTATAATTAGTCCTTTCACCTATAAAAGAACGTTTGTTTTTCTGTAGAGTTCCACATCCGTAAATGGATTAAATATCACCCGCTTATTTCAGATTGGTTGTCCATGTGGTATTGATGGTATAATCAGATATTAATATTAGTCCATACTAATTTCTCATTTGTCTTCCATTTGACATTAAAGTTGATAGAAAAAATCCCATCAGCTTAAAATATTTCTCTTGCGTGGAACCGGGCCAATGAATGACTGGCGTAGACAATGTGGCCTTCGTAGGAATGTAACATCACTGCTTACATCAACTCCACGCTAAGAGGGCCTGTTTGCTGGTAAACCATCCCAAGCGTCTCTGAAACAGTTAAATCAGTTAAACCAGTTTAACGTCATTTTATGCATTTTCTCACAAACGATCTCATATTTTGATATCAGCAGTTCATCCTGAGAATTTTTACTATTAATATCTTTATTTTCAGTTTTTTATGGGCGTTATCAGAATTTCAAGCACAACATCTGGGAAGTCACTGAGGTCGTTCAATGCAGGGGTAGGCAACCTTTGGCACTCCAGATGTGGACTACATCTCCCATTATGCCCCTACATCCATTACTGTTGGCAATGCATCATATACTCCACAACACCCGGCATGCTATACGTTGCATACACCTGGTTAAATGAAGCACGGATTGCTGAGCATTGACACAGAACTGCAAATATAAGCCTACAAACTCCAGTTTGGAAGAATTCCACAACACTATTTCTCTAATTTTTTCTACAAAACATTTTTAAATTGAAATGAATTCTCCAAAAGTCCTTGTTAAACGACTAAACCCCACAGTTTTACTTTTCCTACTAATTATTTAGGAGACATTTCACATGACGCCCTGTAACCAATTCAGTCAACGGATTGAGTTAAAACCTGTCTTTTGTCTCCAATGGTGGAGAAGAGGGTTCAGAAAAAGTGGATATTAATCCAATCAAACCTAAGGAACTTCTCAAGCATTAAACCCCCCAGTGTAGACCCCCACCGTTCAACCTGTATCATATAGTTCCAAGATTCGAAGCCCTTATATCTCTGAAAGTCTGTTGACCGTTCACACACCAGACTCGTATGATAGGAACTCGGCCTGGGATATCAGGAAGTATCAGAATTAGTTAATCCCCCCAGTATAATGAAAGCTCTGTCCTTCGTGTGTTAACAGACAGAAGGCAGGTGGCAGGCTGTGGCTGCAATGTAGTGATTGTGGCGATCAAATGACAAAATGCTCCCAATATTTAACTGCAAGAAATCAGAAAGTTCAGATTGAAGAGTGGAGATCATTAATAAAAAAATAAAAAAAAACAGATTGCAGAATAATCTGAAAATATATAATCACTGTTAATT